GGCGGGCGGCGGGAGCGCCTCGGTAGCCCGATTTGGGGGGTCCCAGCGTGCAGAAATGCGGGGCACAGGGGCAGCGACCCTGCCCCCCATGCTCCGCATATTCCCGAGGCTCACCGAGAGCTTCCCGCAGAGAAATACTCGTTCTGCTTTGGGAACTCTCCTGCCGAGCGCTCGCTCTAACAGCGATCAGGTCACCGTACTCGTTAGCGGGAGCAAGAGCTGTTTTCAGCAAGGTTTTCACAAAATCAGTCACCTTAGTCGCAAGCTACTGCCTGACCGGTATGCACCTGTGCTGCTCTTCCTCTTGAGACTTTTAAATCTTGTTTCTAACTTCTTTGGGTTCATAGGTAAACAACTGAGGAGGGCTCCTCACCCTAACGTTCTTTGTCCGTGGTATTATTTATACAGCTCCACAATGGGCGAGGGATTTTTGTTAGGAAAATAAAGCTAGATACAGCAGTTAACCCTGTGCCTCAAGAGACTATTTCTAGTATTGAGTATCATCTTTAGCAACAGCAGACTTGAACCATCAGGGATTTTTTTATATGTATTATTAAATTATTCCGTTCAGAAATTTTGGAGCGTGTGCTTGCATTATTGAAGCCAACAAGGCATTACTGCGGAGTGGAGAACTGTTTCTGATAGCACTGATGTCTTCCCATGGTATGAAAGTTGTGAAGAAGTCTATTTTAAATCCAGAATGTTTCCATGGCCCATAAAATCTCATGTTCCTGGCCTGAAGGACAGGTGTCTTGAGCATTTAAATAAATATTTTTCATTTATTAGCATAATAATTGAGAGACAGAAGGTACTTGCTCTCAATAAATGTCTGTCTCTCTATATAGGTGTTAACCATCCCCTCAGTTTAAATAACGTAGGAACAGAATGTTTACAGAGGGGAGAAAAAGGCATTTAGATTTTCTTCCCCTACTTCTCTTCAAGTTTATAAACCAGTATAGAACAACCATAAAATACAACTGACATTTCTTCTTAGTTACTTTCCACCTATGCAGATTTAATTGCATTTCAGAAATACGTGATTGCTGCAAATGTGACTATACGGGTTTTCTCCTGAACAGACCTCATACTAATCTTTTATAATCATGCTAGTGCCCAGGTAAAAAGTCCTTCTACAGGAAGTGTTTTCTATTATTCATAATCTATAAATTGCACAAAGCCATTAGTCAATAAGCTGTTAGTATTCTACATGCATCACTTGCCATGACTACAGAAACAACCTATCATTACTTAGCATCATACATTCCCTTTTATCTCTTCCTCACTAGAAGTCTTCATATAGTCAGATTATTATATCCAATCACAAAGAAAAAAAGATTCCTATAAATAGGCACATAGATTTAATCCCAGAAGGAAACTGGAATAACATTCACAGTAAGCCTCTGTGTTTTACAAGTTGCATCTTAAATTCTGCATGGGAACTCTATCTATAGTGGCAGTAATTTTTTTTCTCTCCATACAAACAGCTTTGTGTGCAGAACTGGGAGAGGTCTGCTAAACCAGCTATGAAGCACAATGAAGCTCAGTATATTGTGAAAAGTTATATATCTTTTAATAATACTTAGAAACAGTTTAATCTTCTATTCTTACCATGGAATGCATATATACATTTTTGTCATCTACAAAGGTTATATTTTTTGACTGCATACCTCAGGGCAGAAACAAGACCATCGCTCTCGCTTTGTGACAGTTCAAATTTCTTCTGTTATGCTTGTTCAGAACTACTCTGTTCTTCCTCAGCTATAAATAGTAAGGGCTGATTTAAATAAACATCTAAATATAATTCTTATTGACTCTCTCCATAGTGTTCAGCAAAACTTTTAAAAGTCTTACCCTGAATCTCATAATCTTACATTGATTATTTGCTGTTGTCCAGATCTACCAGCCAGCAGTGCTGAGCAGCAGCAGTGCTGGACCACGACAGCCCTGAGGTTGCAGTAGCAGCAGGTTTTGTGGAGGAGCCCAGCCAATGCCCACCTGCTTTCTCAGGGGTGTGTGTAACCTACTGGAGGCCAAGGTGCTCCCTGCATTTTGGTTGTTTAAAGACAAAGCCTTTTCCTCCCATCTTCAGTTCTCAATGAGATTTTAAATGCACTAGAATCATTCTTTAATCCAACCACAGCTTGCAAAATGCAATTGGTCTTACTGCTTCAGAAGAGAGAAAAAGCAGCTTTCTTAATCAAGCCATGTTCCTGTTATGCTTTAGAAGTAAATAGATCTATCTTGAGTTTCCTCATATCTGCTGTTGCCCCAAAATGTGTTTGCTAAGAGCTTGTTCCCATTCTTCAAACATGCTCCCTGTTTTATTTCCCTATGGAAAAAAACACAAACCCTAAATTAAATCCTCACTGTACATTAGTTTTTTACTATTTCAATTATTATACTGGATTAACTTCAAAAGCCAAAAAGAGAATTCTGTAGTTTCTGTCCTGATAATTCAACAAGCAGCCAGGGTTAGGACAAATTACAGCTACTTCTGCAAAGTTGACATTCCCAGCCTTCCAAAAAGGTACAGAATTATTTCCAACTCTGGCAGGTTGCAAGAATGTGGAGTACTATGATTAACTTCCTGCTATTCTGCTCAGCCCCCTCATTTGCATTTTGGCATGATTTTAACAGCTAATTTCTCACAAACAAGTAGTGTTAGGAAGTAATGCTTCCTTCCACACCAAAGCTAGGAATTATGGCCTCCTGTTTCCAAAATCAAAAGGTATAACAATGGCCCAAAAAGCTAAAAAAAAGCAGAGAAAAAAAGATAATTTTAAAATGTGTTAATGATTTATCCACTGAAACCAAAAGCAAAGTGCTGACTGTAGAGGCTACAGTGGCGCTAACGAAGGCAGTGTCAAGGCTAAGTCAGACTTTTCATTTTTTAGTTAAAAACAGGACCTACTTGCAACCTTTTCTGCTGCACTCAAAAAAAGCTAAGCACCAAACAGGTTGCACCGCTAAGCGGTTAAGCAGAAGTAACTCAAGTCACTGTAGAATAGGATTCAAACAGCTGCTGTGTTATAAAAGAGGAAAGTATTTGGTGGTGTGTATTAGCCTTCCTGTTAATACATATACAAACTTAATATCCAAATCCAATATCCGTTCCCAGAGTAGCATAACTTCAAAAACATTAACTCCCAAGTTTTCCTAAGACAGGTGACAGTGCTAAAATTTTTACAGAACAAGTTGGTTATAATTACATTGATATTAATAGAAAAGTTGAGTGTTTAAATCATAGGTATATAGCTGTAGCTGGAGTACAGAGTAACACTGGACTGAGGCTAAAGGAGCTATTGAATTATGTATCCCCATCTAATTAAAAAGGTAAGACTTTCAGCACCATCCCTAAGTTCTAATTCACAGAGAGAGATTAGACAGAAAAATTACCCCCAAAATGAAACTTTATTAATCATTTATGTATCTGTCAGAAATTCACAGTATAGTTCATTGCAGGAATGGTGAAGAGAGCTGATAATACCAGAAACAGTACTCTTGTACACATTGTTTATGTACAAAACAGGTTACACATGGAGTGATGGACATGCTTATCTCGACTGAAGCAAAATCTTAATCATAGTGTCTAGGATACAGTTGGGTTTTAGCACTGCAAACAAGCTTGCTGCTTTTCTGCCTTATATACTCCAAACTGTTTTGTAATTAATGAAGCTCTTACACTCTTGGGCAACTTAAATAGCTTACTACCTTTAAATAGCTTGCTACCTCTCTTGATATGTGACTGACAACTGACACCTCAGATACTGCAAGTGAATGGGATGGGGAAGTGCAAATTTTTCAACAAAAAAGTAGCAGGTAACTTTTGATGAAAAAAATGGACATTTTTTTTAGCTTATCTTTGTGTTTCACTCCATTTTCTGTTATTACAAAGCTGACTCACTATGCAGCAGGAAAGGACTGCCAATATGTTAACAATACATTTCACAAAACCACCTCCTTTAGCATACAAAGTCTATGAACACAGAATTGTCAGACATGACAGAAGAACTTTAATATTAATGCCATAATAGACATTCCTGAAAAGATTTCTCCTGAAAAATACACTATATTGGTAATAAAGAACAAGAGATGAAGAAGTTTGGTATACCAATCTGATCTATTTTTAAGTCAAAAGTATCACTATCCAAGTGTTCTAGGAATAAGTAATCTCTGGGAAAGATGTATTGAGAATAGTCGTGTACAGCAGGATCAGTTCTGACAGCTACAAGGAAACCATCTGAACTTTTAAGTCAGTGTATATATTTTAATAAGTGTTTTGGAACCCCTCATCAACACGGCTTGCACATGCAGCCTTCTCATCAGCCTCTTGCTGCCTGCCGCTTGGAGATGAAAAAAGATCTTCCATATAAAAAGGGAAGGTTCTATTTTAAAAATGAAAGATATCATTCTTCTGGCAGAAGTTTTGCTGGCAAACGTACCCAGGAATGGATTATAAGTAACAGGATGTGGAGCAACTGGTAAAATGAAGCAGCCCTCAGCTGCTTATACATTTCTAATGGAGGAAGGGATCAGAAATGTTAAATGTTTTGAGCAAAGCTGGAGGGGACTCTGTCACAGATCCATCCAAGCATGAACTGTTCTGCAGATGATTTTGATCAAATGGACGTGGGAGAATTGCATTTACTTCCTGAATCAGTTAACCTGGTTTCTCTGCAGAGATACGGACTCCCAATTTATTTCTTTGGCAGTCTTAAAGAGAGGAATCCCTACTGGAAACAGCTGGAGTGAGATGAAACTGTTATATCTGAGAACAGACTTGAGTGCATTCAGATACCCTGCTGGCATGCTAATGGCTAACAAGATTTGGATCTTAGGTGCTGGAGTCACCGTTAATAGCTGGTGAAGCCCACTTCTGCTAGGAAGCTTTTGTGAGGAGGATTAAAAATGGGTTGGCAGCTCCACTACCATGCTCTGCGTAACACTTGGAAACAGCTAAAATGTGTCTTGCCTGATGCACACCTTCATCTCTGTTACTTTATTCTGTGGCAATCCTGCAGTATATTCCAGTATGAGGAAATGACCAGAGCTGTCAACAGGCCAAGTTACAGGCAGCCACCTTAACTGCTCTTTGATACTCATTTTACCAATCTGCAAATGTCCTGTTGAGACCACGGGATTAGGGAATATATACAGACTATGAACTATAAGAGCACGTGGAATTTGAAAACTGCTGTGTTTTCATCCTCAGCAATAGAATTGTTTGCCTAAAAAAAGCAGCAACAGATGCAATCCAGTATACCTTTTATCAATTAGCAAATGTCACCAAATGCTGAGAGAGAAAAATTTCATTCCCTGGAATTTACAGTTTGTGTTTCTGAGCTAA